CTGTATCAGAACTGATTAAGCTAATAAGGCAAGCCTCCGTCTCTCTGCAAGCTTAGAAATAGAAGCAAAAAAGCCAAAACCTTCTGGGTTAACTGCAAATAGTTTCCTAAGCTATTTACTGTCTGTTGTTTTCAAAAGTCTATGACATGGTCAATAAGGCTAAAATATAGAGGGAAGAAAAACCCAACACACTCTCTCCCTGTACGTACATCTTATTTTTGCATATTATTTCTTTTCTTATTATTTCTTTCCTTTTTATGCTTTTCCAGCACCATTCTTGATAGATTGTACTTTTGCATAGAAGCCATCCAAAAAAAAAAAAAAAAAAAAAACGGCAGGCAGGAGGGCACCGCCAGGGAACTCTCTTCCCCTTCCGAGGACGTACCCATGCCAGAGCCGGCCGAGAAAGGGGAGACCTTCCCGAAACGTGGCGGTGACCTTTCAAAAAAAAAAAAAAAACAAAAAAAAAAACCCTGAATTGACAATATGTTAATATTAGACTGTAACCACAGGGGGAAAACAGTTCCACTCCCAGCTTTAAACAACTTTAGCTTTACTGTCGGATCCTAAGCTTTTTACCAGAAGCAGTAGAAAGAGCGGTGCAGCTAAGCTGAGAGTGTTATGACACACAGGAATTCAGGTTCAAAAGGAACCATCTGGTTCATTCAGTTCACTGCAACTGCAATAGACTTTTTAGTTCTGAAAGGTCAACGTCACATGCATATGTACAAGCTGGAACACTTCCAATGTACTATAACAAAATAAAAATCTTTTTAAATATTAGAAGTTAGTTAAAAACATAATGACAGGGTGTCAATGGAAATAACACACAGAGAACTGTACAATAGCAAGTAGGAGAGATCGCCAGTGTCCTATATTTCCGAAGTGACCTTTTAACTATTTTATACTTAATTCAGAATTCTAAATAAGGCTAAGAACTATTTTTAAAAATTATGTTTCCATTACGTAAGACAATGATGACAAAATTAAAACTTAGATATGATCCAATAGCTGTCACTAGGTCTGCTAGTGTGGAGGAGGTGATAAATATCCACTTTCAGCTCTGAATTTCTTGTTTTTTCTCTGTGTTAAGTCCTCTTCTATCATCAAAAAAACCCCCAACCAACCAAAAAAAAAACCACACCAGTTTTCATCTTCTGTTCTGCCTACAGCCACCCCACCTCTGTGTTTCCCATCTGTCTACTCCTTTCTTGCTGTTCTTCAGCTGAATAACTCCCAGAAGATCCCTCTTGGCTCTGCTTGCCAGTCTAACTTGGCCAGCCCCATCATGCCAGCAGGCTAGAAGGTTACATGTAACCCAGCTGCTTGGTTTCCACCAGTCCAGCAAGCAGTCTTCCTACAGCTTTCTTACCTTAACCTGTCTCCAGTTTCAGATGACAAGTATTAGATACACCTTTTTGGAGCATTTATGAGTATTTCCTTTCTAACCAATTCAGTATTTAGTATTGTCAAATGAAAAAAATCCAGCATGTCACTCAAACACAAATTTTAAGGAAGAATCCCCCTTACTCTTCCATCTTGCTCTTTTCAGTATTTGATACTTCTAATGCTTCACTATCCCATCTCTTTAAGGCCTAAGGGTATTCTCCCTGATCAGCATCTCTATCCATGCTTAGAAAAACATGGAGAGAGAACAATTATGATATAATGTATTTTCAATTCAACACTGAAAGGAAAACATTTAACTCTCATTACAGCAATTCATGCAATTTGTCAGTTACAGACTGAGCAGTAAACAAAAGTGGCTGTCACAAGGGCTATGTTTAACTCTCTGTATCCTATCTTGAATGAAAATACAATTAGGTTGGATATTTTATATCCCCAAATATTTATCCCTTAACAAATCTGTTTCTATGTGTATTCTTTCAACTGACAAATTCAGTTGTAAACAGTAAATTATCAAATTCCTTTTAGCAAAGGCCAAACTAGTCCAAGGAAACTAAGAACACAAAGACATGTTTACCTAATACATAGCAAACCTGGGGAAAACGGGACAAGAGTCAAAGGCTGATAAAGGTGTTTCCAAGATAGAAATCGGAACATGCAGCATTAAAGCATATGTTGCTTGAAATGGAAAGTAGAATCCAGAGGTAGCCACCATTGTGTCTTACTCATTGTATCAAATCACAGAAAAATGGGAGGTCACCAAGTATATTCTGTTATCCCAAGATATAGTTCATCTTAGACCGTTTTGGGGGACAGGTAAAATGCCATCCCTGCATTAACTTACCCTTACTAAAGGAAAACTTTTTCTTTATTTGTAACAAAACTTCTTGCTGCAACTAAAACCGTTACTGCTTCACAGCCATCAGGAACAGCAAACCCCACATTTTATCCTTGCCACAATCTTCTTTAACCACAGTGACAGTAACTGTTGTTCCCTGCTCCTTAGTTTTGTGCCATTTATTATTCCTGACTAAATAACTAATTGCACTTGACCCTACTAAACTGCATCATCTTTCTGACCAGGCTGATATTACCCTCAAACACAAACACAGCCAGGCAGTTCTCTCCCTGGTCACTTTGTTGTCTATCAAAATTACCAATCAGACCATACATTCCATAATATAAAATATAAACACATATAAAACAACTGGTCTCAGATCCCTGCAGAACCCCACTAATAGTAAGCCACGCATGAGGGCTCTCCCAATACAATTGTGCAGCTTTTTGGTGCCCACCATACAGTAATTTTATTTAGATCCTGAGTGTTTCTCCTTGTCACCACTGAGAAATGCTGCTGAAGTCAAGACACCTGATGTTTCTTCCTTGCTCTTAATATGTTATCCTCTTGCAAAAAGACATTACATGCAGCTAAAATCATTCAATCTCTTAAAATCCATGCTGGCTGCTACACATCAACATGTGGGTGGGGGAGATGAAAGAGGACTTGGTTCCCCAGAAAGCAAATAAAAAAATAAATTCAAAAAAATTCATCTACTAAATAGAGTTAGCCTCATGAACAGGATTGTTCTTTAAAATCAGATGACTTAGGAAAAAATATCTGACTGACACTTGTAAAATTTGACCGTCAAAGGAAGAAGAGTTAAGCTTTGCTTCAAAAGGCTAGTGATTTGAACATTTCTTTAAAAGATGGGAGACCTAGATTCAGTTTCCTCTGCAACCTGTGAGGATTGAAACCTGCAATCCTTACATCCAAAACGAGTATCCCAACTACAAGTCTAGGGAACAGCCTCAGGAAATCAATTTTTAAATCCTTCCTTGAAGTTCTGTATATAGGGAGGATAAAAAGCAGAACACTCAGCTGCAAATGAGAAGTCTTCTGGTTTGTATCACTGTCCTCAGTATATATGAGCATATATACAATCTGTAGTTCTTATTTTAACATAAGCATTTGTATATATGCATACAAATCTAATTTCATTCAATAACTTTCAATAAATGTACATTTTGTGTGCATGTGTGTGATGTCTTACACCAGTAGTAGAGTCACTGCCTTCACCCCTCCTATGTCAAGAGTAGGGTGGAACGTGAAGACCTGTCTCTGAAGAATAACCACGAGCAGATTGAGAGCCTATGGGTAAGAATAAGAGACCGAGGCAACACTCAAAGGGAGCAACTGATATGCCTAAAAATCTGAGTGACTAAATCACCCTAGGATACCAAAGATATTCACGCACACCCAGCTGGTAGACATAGAAACTAGAAGGGATTTCTGTCTCTCTAGAAAGCTAACTGGAGGAAGGGCAAGAAACCTAGAAGTGTACTGAATGCCTACTTCCAGGCAACTGAATTGCATTTTAAGTTTGAAAACAGGCATTAAGTTCAAGCAAATCAGGATCACAAACTGCTTTCCAACTGCCTTGAGATCACAGAATCACAGAGTCTTCTAGGTTGGAAGGGACCTTAAAGATCATCTTGTCCAACCGTCAACCTAACTGACAAAAATAGTCACCCACACAACAAACAAGGAGCATCATCACTAAACCATACCTCCCAGCACTACATCAACCCGTCTTTTGAACACCTCCAGGGATGGTGCCTCAACCACCTCCCTGGGCAGCCCATTCCAATGTCTGATAACCCTTTCAGTGAAAAAATTTTTCCTAATATCCAGCCTGAACCTACCCTGGCGCTTAATCAAGATGTTATCTTGATTAAGGTTAATTTCACCACAATAACCAGAAGGTAGTCAAAGCATTAAAAAAAGCCAACCAAAAAACCTACAATATCATAGTTCATCTCAAGTTACTGAATCTATACATGTTAAAAACCAAGACATTAATTAGACCGTTACTTTTATTAGAAAAGGTAGAAGTATAAAGCAAAACATTGTATAGCTACTGCCTACCCTGTTCCTGAAATCCAGACTCTCGTGAGTGCTGCTTTGACCGTGGAGAAACTCAAATTAATTTCATCTGAACACATTACCAACAAATAGATCCTTTCTCCCTGTTCCCCGTGGCCTCTCACAAAACATGTCTTTACACATACTTTTCTTCTTCATTCCAACTATTTCCATCTTCATCCCTCTTCAAGTCATGTAATTGACACGTAGCGCCTGTTCTGTTCAATGAACTGAAAATACTCTGGCTGACAGTTGCATATCTAAGCAACCAATGAGCTGGTAACACAGAGGCAAATATGAGAAGAAGATGAAAGTGTATTTTTTACTTCAAACAAAAAATTTCAGTGCATTAAAAGGAAATGCATTGTAAAGTTTATCCCCTCCCAGAAAGATCTTAACCTCAACAGGCAAAGACTGTTACCAAATATCCTATTTGTTCATACTCTGCAGCTATGCTGTGAGAGAACACCTGATTTTTTTAAAACAATGAAGCCACCTGTTCAATTTATTATATGAAGTATTAATAGATTAAAGATTAAAGCATCATAATTCTCTGGTTACATTATTAAAATTCGAGTCACATAGCTCCTTATAGCCACAGATAACATCTAATCAGTTAATCAAAGATAAACCAAAACAGATAACTGGATGTCAAAATCATTAATCTTACCTGACAAGCAGATGTATGTTAAATATTCACCCTGACCCCCAGTAGCTAAGAAAGGAATCTTTTTTTTCGTTCTTCTTTTCACTTGGACAGCTCCCAGCATCCTTTCATCATGTGGGGCAAAAATTTCTTTACTGATTGCAGATTTGGCATTCATTGTAGATCACAGATATAGCAGACTGCTGCTCTCTAAAAATAAAACCATAAATAAATAAAAAAATAATATTACAAACTCTGAAGTTATATGAAAGTCCAGCTAACTTTCATGTTACATGTAACTTTCAAAGTTTTTAGCGATTCAAAGAATTTAGAAGATGATTTCATGCATTTAGAGGCAGAATTTTCCAAGTATGTCAGAGTCTCACTTAAGTTGTTCTCCACGCTTCTTAAATTCTCTGAAACTAGCTTAGCTTATTTTGGGCAGAAGCCGTCCAAGCTCTTCAGTATGATGCAAAATTTTCTTAGAGGGACACCCTGTAACCTCATGCTTCATAAAAGCTTCATTAATTCCCTCTCTGGTAACTTGAGGGAAGCTCATCTGTCCTACAAAGACAAGGAAAGCTCTCCAAGGACACAGGGAAGGAACACTGTGGTTGAGTTTATCAGCATCCTCTCTGAGCTTGGTTATGCTGGCAGACAACAGGTCATGTTTATAGAAGATACAGAAACCTTCTGACTCAGTAAGACACTTCTTTCAGGAGCACTGCTCTTGGTGACAGTACTTGACTACGCAGGTCCTGCACTTCTTGCAGCTTTAGCACCTCATCCCCTCAACTCCTCTGTAATTATCAACTGGGCAACTCCACAGAAACGGTGAGTGTCAGAGAAGCCATTGGTGTTCACACAGACAAAAACCACATCTCCTCTTTTCTGCCAAGTAATTTTGGCCCAGGTCATTTCCTCATTGTGTTTCATAAGGAAACAGCAACCAACTTAGGAGAGACATCTGGGGGGAAGGGGGGAGTGGCAGATGTAGAGCATGAGGAGGAAGTAGGGAAGCTGTTTATTCAAGCTTGTCCAGCAAAAGAAAGGTTGATCTGACCACAGCTTACAGAGGCACCTAACTGAAGGAGAGAGAACTCAGTTACAGAGGGTGTATTATCTAGCAGCACTACAGTTATAACTCCATCTAATTCTGCACTGAAATCTGTTAATAAGTATATAGGTCCCACTGACAGAGACTGACAAACGCCCCTTTTAATTGCTCAAATACAATGATGCTCCAATACACATTCGTTAAATGCCACATCTCCCTATCATCAAGACTTTCAAGCCCACAGATCTTTGACACCCTTAGCTTTCTTTGTATGAGCAAGAGCACCTTCAGGTCTCAACTACTGAAACCAGAAATTCTGCCTGTAGGATCATTTGATATTTGCCACAAATTAACTATTAAAAAACATAGATAAATTCCAGTCAAAATGCATTACGAAGCCCAAAGAGTCATGAATCCATTATTTTTAGTGTGCATACTATCAGAGTAATTGTCTTAAAACTTTCAGTCTCAACATTTTGTTGGAGCTTATGACAATCCCTTATCTAAAAAACCTCAAAACTAAATAAAAAAATACAAACAAAAACCTGTATTCATGGAGGTATGACAGAGCACAAATTAGTCCAAATCAAATTCAACACCTATTTATTTTGGTATGCAAATAGAATCCTTTGCCAAAGTAATCTGTACTGGTATGCTTCAGTTAACCATACAGAGGTATGTAAACTCTGACAAGTCTTAGCATTAAGTTATTTTACAGGCACCTTTATAAAAATCAATTGTATTAAAAAAAAAAATGGCGCCATCAAAAGAAAAATCCAGACCAATTTCAAGGGAAAAAAGAATATGCAGCTACAGAAAATATATGATTTCATAACTCCTGCCATGTAAGTTACCTACCTTTAACAACAAATATATCAACTTGAAAAAAGAATAAATTTACTGGCTAGTTACTTAGAAAAGGTTGTTTTCACATTCATGTTCATTGTACTGCAATTTTGCCCTTTTCTGTGTTATGAAAATATTTGTAGTATATCATATACCAGCATGCAAGCTGCTGGCAGTTTATGACTAGGGTTTCAGGATGGTGGGTTTTTTTGTGTTGCTTTTTGGTTTTGGGGGGGTTTTTTATTTTTGTTTGTTTGCTTTCTTTTTAAGTTCAAGGCCACTGTCAATGACTACAGGTTTAATAACACAGACCTTCTGGCTGAGATAAAGATTGATAATCTTTGCAAAAATAACTTCAGTCTTAGGCCTTTACATGCGTAAAGAATTTTCAATAAATAGCCTACTGGGAAAACACACACAAACACTGTCAGATAAAAACATGGATAAAAACATCAGATAAAAAGCCAATGGAAAAAGTCTTCTCCTGCAATGATCTGATGCTGTTAATTCTGCAACTGAGATGTTGAATAGATTTTCTCAGATCTTTTTTTGAGGTTCACATACTGCAAAATAAAGTGTGATTTCAAAGACATACTCAGTGATATAAAGGCTTCCTGGATTAAGAAAGGATATAAGTTTTCCCTACCTACAGTTGGTTGCAGTAGTAAATGTTACTAGTTTAGAGCTTCAAAACTTTCACACATACTTTAAGGATATTACAAGCAATAGATCTTAATGTATATGGCTGCATTTGGTAAGACTCTGCTGAACAGCAGGCAAGCCAAACGAACAAGAGACACTATTCAAATCCTATTTTATAGATTTCCCAAATAATTTTGCTTCATATGTGCACTGCAATTTACAGCATGAAACTAGAGTGACTGCCACGTAGACAATAACCCAAAATAAATGCAAAACCTCTGAATGTACCCAGGTATCTCAGGTACCTGAAATGTACCTCTCCATGTATATACATATCTGTGTCTTAATGCAAGTGCTATTACGCACATACAACATACAAATCCATCTTTAAAGCCTAGCTCAACACAATATTCCAAGACAGATTCAAACTCCTCTTTCAGTAGAGACACAGAAGACATGACCAGCACAATCAAATATTGCAGTTTATTGCTGCATACTGTTATTTGCTTTGTGATTAAGCTGGTTGTATAGACATCCACCAGAAGCTGTACACAGACGGATGCTGTAGACACCCAATGTTGTAACTGGTAAATGATGCACTCACTGCCCAAGAACCTTCTGTTCCCCGCGTTTCGTTTACAACAGCCTTAGATGCTGGAATTAACCAACTAATCTAATGCAGCGTTACTGACTGCTGAATCTGATGTGGAAACTGACACTGGCACAAACTGCAAAAGCTTATTTATTTAAAAAAGAAAAACCAACCAACTGTGCCTATACGCAAACACACTCCTGAGATTGAGCTGTCGGTATAGTTTGGATGAAGTTGTTTTTCATAGGTCAACAAAAATCAGCAGCTGGGTTTAAATAAGCTACCTTCTGCATATTTCCTGGTGGGTCTGTGGGAGTTGGACTCGATGTTCCTTACAGGTCCCTTTCAAATTGAGATATTCTATGTTTCTAGAAAAAGCAAATGTTGTATTAAAGTCTTAAGTAAAACATTCCAACACTTTTCTTTTTCAAAAGCAGGCATAATGGAGTCTTATGAGTCTTACTTGCTCAAGAACATGAATTAAGTCTCACTTTTTCCCATTCTCCAAAAAAAAAATTCTCTATCTAAAAAAAAGTAATGCTAGCAGTACATGCAAAACTTCATGTACTACACACACATTTCTTTCCACAGTAATGTTTGTTCTTGGCATGCATTACAGGACGACTTCAAACCATCAGCAGTTTCCATTCATGGCCCACGTGGAATGCAAACAGTTTTCCCCATGCTCAAATATAAGTGCCTTAAAAGTTGAAACTTTTACTGGGTGATCTCTGAGCTCTTCGAGACAGTACATCAGTGTTTACAACGTCTACCCCTCTGTGGCAAGAGGTATTTAAACGTTTCAGTAAATGCAAGAGCCTTTAAGGAGAGCCAACATTTCCTGCCTCTCATACATTCTTTGTTCCATGTACTTAATTCTGCTCGAAGTATTATTATGATGCTTTTGGCTGAATGAAGAAAATTCCATTTTCCTCCCGCAGATTTTCACTCCAGCCATCACAGTGTTTTGGAAGAGGATGTCAACATTTGCACTGTGCCCCCAGCACTCAACAGAAACGCCCAAGAGGGAAGATTCCTGTGCAGATTTGAACTAGTGCCTGTAACACACTGTCCATTTGCATCTCCTCAGATCTTTCTCTGTTGCAATTCTTCTCCATGGTATTTCTATCACTAAAACCTCCTTCTAGGAACAGCTGACCATTCCTCTATATGTGCGTGTGAGCGGCCAGGGATTAAAGGTAATCTCTAAAAAAGATATTAAGTAAAACCAAGATACTTAAGCTGATACCTTCACAGATCCCACACATTCAGCAACAAAATACTTGGACTGTTTTCTGGTCAGCCAGAATCTCAGACTGTTTTCAGGCAGACAGCCAGCAAGCGGCTGACTTATCTTTACATCTAGATGTTTTATAGGACTATGCAAGTAAGTAGAAAAAAGGACATTTACAATATCTTTCTTGAGGTATTGGTACACAGAAGGAACTAGGGAAACTAAAACTCAGCACACAGAATTTAAATAGTAGTAAATTAGCAAGGAGAAATGAACTAAGAAGCAAGAGAAAGAAGAGCAAGTAATGTTTTCCAAAAAAAGAAAAAATGTTCAGTATGTTAAGACTCCCTGTTGAAAACAGGATCTTTAGTTTAATCAAAAACAGGGATGGGCTCACAGGACAGGCTAACCACTGAAATGCTGCCTGAAGTGGGAAATCATCTGAGCAACCAGCTATTGCTGGGCTGCACTATTAGCTCTAGCAAGTGCTCAAATCTGCTTTTAATAAAGCCAACATTCTGAGAAAGGACACCTACTTTAGGAAATCATTGCAAGACACCATTATTAAAAGCCCAGCTTCTGCTATTGTGATAATTGTCTGGTATTTACTTGCTGGAAGTGTTGGGACTACATATTTGATAATTTGCATTCATGAAAAATCTGTATTTGTTGTCATCTCAAAGAGCTAGTACAACTTTTGAGAAGCACATCATTGCTAAACCAAGGCTAGTTTATAAATCCTTAAAAAGCAAATATTAGAAAATAGAATTTCTAAAGTTGGTTTGCAATAGTTAAGCTTAATTCTATCCTAAAGGAATAACACTAAGTTTAATTAGCTCTACAAGCAAGGATTAAACCACTAGATCAACCTTACTATAAAATAGTTGAGGTAAAATCTTTAAAAGGTTTGAACATAACAAGACTATCAGAATATCTTCTGTCATCCTTCTATTTGCAAAATATAACTTTTCTTGATAGATTTTTATTTAAATTAGGACAATAGTGGCAGCCACTGTACATGCCAGAAAAAAATCTATTATATCCTAATAACATGAGTTCACAACCTTTAAAAGAATTTACTGGCGGAGGTGGGCGGGGAAATCACCCTCCAGAGCTACTCATGGGAAGTCACATTTCCAATTCATTTTTTCAAATAAGCTTTCTGTCATGACTGGTTTATTTGAATAAAATATTAACTCTACAACAAGGAAATTTAGAGTTCCAAACTGCATTTGTGGCAATTCTTTAAAAGAGAAACAAGAAATGTGTTTTTACTTACATGTATAACTACAAAATAAATTGTCTGCCCAATCAAGCTGAGCTGGATGTAAGAAGACTTCAGAGAGCAGTGGCTCCTAAATCTAAAACTTGAGTCTTTCTTGCAGTGAAATGACATTTTTCTTTCTACTGTATATTCCAGGTGAAACAATTGTTTCTTGTTCTGACAAACACAGAGCAATTCCAGATCTAGCAGCTAATGTCCTAGTAAAGAATACGTTGGGTTGCAGCTAAACTTTGCTCACAAGAGGATATTAATTCTGAAGTGAACCTACAGTACTCCAAGCTGGAAAAATTAAATAGAAATTAAGGCATGTAACACTTCTGTAGTGCAAGTTTGTGTGTGAACAGCTGCAGACAGTTAGTAGACTACTTAAACAGTCATGCAAGAAAACAACCGTACATTCAAGAACTGCGGCAAATTGGAAAGAATTGCTGCTTATGTCTTCTTAGCATTTTGGATCAAGAATGTACTATAAGAAGTTAATAAATAATGATGCAAGAACCGGTGCACATTACGGACATTCAGTCTCCAAGTGTTTTTTTTAACAGCCAAGGGCAGGAGTGCTCCCTATATGTGCTTTTCCTTAGAACTCCATAAGAGCTGGGTGTGTTTCTGGGGTGCAAAGATGCCCCAGGGAGGGAAAGGCACCTCAGTAGAAGGCAGTAGAGCCCTGTCAGGGCCTCCCCTTGACGGCTGGGAACCCCCTCGGAGAGGTTCTGATTATAAAAGTCCCACAATCTGACAGTTGCTATTGTTTGAGAATGTATGAATTTGAAAATAAGGATGGACAACGCCCCATTAAGCAGCAGCATCCAAACAATGAACCTGTGCACCAGAAGGCACCTGAGAACTGCTTGGGAAGACTGCCACTGGAGTCATCTCTTTGAAAAGCGTTCTGAACCTCACAAAGAGATTCACAGAGAAACTTAGGAACTGCCAGATGTTACAACAAAGCCCCAGAGAGACAACATTTGCATTTGTAGCAAGTTGTATTTATTACTTCAGGACATTGGGACATTCATAGCAGTAATAACTACTTCTTCTACATAGCAACACTGAAAATGATAGTCTTAAGGTCAGCTTAATCTTTATGATTTTTTAGATATTTTTAGATGTTAAGACCAGTTATTACATCTGCCCTTAGATTTTTATTTGCAGTCTGAACTACCACAGTTTCTGCTGTCATTTCTCACAGGCTTCTTGTTCCAAACACCTCACCTCTCCAACCCCTTTCCCATTGTCCTACATCTTTTACAAAATGCAATCCTCAAATCTGGACTCATAGCTTCACTTATGGCAGCAGAGTCAACTTGAGGAATTACTTGGTCGGTCAGTGGAACAGGTTCCCCAGTGAACTGGTCATGGCACCAAGTCAGAGTTCAAGGAGTGTCTGGATGACGCTCTTAGTCATATGGTTTAGTTTTAGGTAGTCCTGCCAGTTGGATTCAATTATGCAGTCCTAAGTAATGTGGTCTAGGCAATCCTGCTTTAGCAGGGGAGTTGGACTAGATGATCTCTAGAGGTCCCTTCCAACTCTGACTCAAATTCTGTGTTTCCATTATCCTTACGGATGCCTTCCAACTCAAGATATTCTATGATACTTTATAGACCCTATAGTGAACACTCCTGCTTATACAGCTACCGCCAGATATGGATCTTTTCCAACTGGTCAGTAAAAGACAAGAGCTTCAGTTCAACATCCACCATGTTCTCCAATCTTTTTCTGAATTTAAAAAACAATAAAGACATTTGACATCTAAGTAACTCATTATTCCCACTTTACAGATGATTTTTCAGGCTATTTCTCCAATACTGTAAGATCATTTTAAATTCCAATCCTGTCTTTCAACACTTGCAGGTCTTTAGATTGACATTCACTGGAAGTCAGGAGGTATGTTCTGTGTGCCATCACTTTAGTCAGTTAAAATTGTTTGAGACCTAACACAACATCCCTTCCCTCCTTCAATTAGAACTAGAAAGATACCAACTCCTTTGAATACACTTCTACAATCATTTTTGTGTTCCTACATCTTACGCTACTTCCATATGAACTTCATTTCCTTAGTTCACTCATGACTAATGTCACATGAGACAGTATCAAAGACACCATTAAAGTAGAGATATCTCTGCCAGTTCCAACTTATTCATGTGGTCTAATACTTTATCACAGAAACAAATCAATTATTTGGGGGGGGGGGGGGGGGTTTGTGTGAGTTCTCGCAAAATAAAAATAATTTTAAAAATTGAATTAAATAATCTTGGTGAGAAGGAGCAGCTCACATTCTCCAGGGAATGGGGAACTGGTATGAAGGATTGCAGTTTGGAGCGTGCACTGTTTCTTTCAGCAGTTTGTGTTGTTTCATGTTTAATTTATGCCCACCTTGTGCATTTGTGCTGGCAGAAATGATTGATTTCTCTGTGCACTCTTCTTCCTTTTGACAGCACAGGTGCTTATGTAGTAGTGCAGTGAACTAGACAACAGAATTAATCCAGGTTTAATCCAGTTTAAAAGAAGAAATATAGTGATTAGTTTTATTTTCGCTCAGATCAGCTCCATGACTCTGTTCACTACACAGCTGTGTGTCAGCACATGGGAAGGAAAAGCAGGGGTAGGATTAGGGCTGCCTTAGGCACCAGCAGTATTACTTTACAAAGAACATGAAACTGTGGTTTAAAGACGGAACCTGAAATGTCAGGAGCTTTCAATAAGTAGTGAAATTGGCTGACTGAAAACGTGGCACAGAGCCAACCTAGGTGAATTTTTTTGAAATCAGAACTTGCAAAAAAAGAACAAAACTGAATTCAAAGTGCTGAAAGAGAGGAGTTCACATGAGGCTCTCCTTGATAAGAACAAATATGTCTCCTGATAGGAGAGAATTTCTCAGTATACTGACTCTATTATTATTGGGTTCAACAGAGACATAGCAAAAAGGCGGGTTGGAAGTTAGGCTCAGTTGGCGTGCAATGTGATTTGTGCACTAAATCTGAACCTGCTGCATATAGGAATATACAAAAATATTACACAATGCTACTACTGCAGTATACCCCGCGTAATCAGAACACACTAAGGCACAGCAGCTACTCTGGCAAAACATCTTACAAGAACCTGATTTTGCCTTCTTACCATAAACAGTCGCAGATGCTCAATAAAGGCAAACTCTGCAAGCACCAAGTACTGATCACTGAAAAAAACCAGCTGTTAAATGGCTTCATTATTCAGGATATAGGTTGCAAGAGAGATAGGACATCACTACAGTATTAGTTGAAGTTGATTTAAAAGAAAAAAAAACCTAAACCACTGATTCAGCAAGCAGCTAGCACATAGTACTCTTGCAACTGGCTTACTCCAGCTAGTGTACCTCAGTATGCTCTTAAATCATGTTTTCCACATCCTCACAGTTCCATTTCCATTCCTCCTCACAAAACTGGCATAAACCCCAAATTTGTGCACATTGCAGTCATCTATTAAATAGATTATTCCAAAAGAGAAGGAGGGAACAGTCAGGTCTCTCACGCTGAAGATTTTCAGTTTTCTGAACTGCAACCTGCAACAACCATATCTGGAGAAAAAAAAAAAAAAAAAAAGGGAAGTAAACTCTTTATCATTCTGTTCCTTTATATTACTTTAATGCTGAGGAAGAGTACAAAAGCAGAGTAATACAATGGCATAAAACAACATCAGGGGATTAAAGCATTCTATTTCATCCATTGAAGGTGGATCAACTTGCTCTGGTAAGTATAAATATTTTTTCCAATCACTTCAAATATGCAAGCAAAATCACTCACTAGCAAAATGCATAATTCTTTTAAGAATGCAATATATCAGGTTCTGGGGATTTCAGAAACTCTCTAAGGGCAGAGACACCTCTGTAAAGTATCACACCAACATTTTACTTGAGAGAAAACAAGAACTGTGTAAAAGTAGTAAACCATCTGTTGGTAGTTTCCCAATATTTTCTAGCAGTTAACTAAATAAATTTTCTTTCTGGCAAACAACAAGCTGAACACATTCCTGACATGCTGCATACCTTTTCCCAGGAATCCTCTGATATCATCCATTTCAAAATGGGTAAACCCAATAAAGCTTGCAAAACTGCGAAGAATTGCAAGAACTGAAGAAATTATGAAAAACTAGTCTGCTCCAGTGTTTTGTTCAAGGGATGTTATCATCTCAGGAATTATTAAAAATGTCATCCACGGCTTTTATCCCCCACTACGTTTGATTCCTTAGCTCTGCACTCCTGGCAGAATTCAGGAGGAAAAAAAAAAAAAAAAAAAAGGCAAAAAACAAGTCTGGAAACAGACCTTGTATATTTGAAGACTTTTACTGTTTTGTAGTTTGGTTTCTTTTGCTTTGTTTTTGGTTTCTGGTTTGTTGTTGGGTTTTGTTGGGGGGTTTTTGTGTTAAATGAATGGCTTGTTCTTTAGTATCACAGAAGTCTGAAAAAAGCTGAAAGGGAAACTATTGGCTTTTTCCTCTCTCTTGGTACTTTCATAGTAATTTGCAATCAGCGATCAGTAGTAGAAGTATTGTATTTTAACAACTAGAAAGTTTCTATTAGACATGAAGGTGGTGGGGCGAAAATGTCTTGTCAAGTGATAGCTGTTGATCACGAGATACTCTTAACATAAAAACAAAAAAGATACAGCTTTCCCCCTCTGCACTCCTTTCAGGGACCAAGCAGTGACTTCTTGAGGATGTGAGAGCTTTCATCAGGTTTACGATTCTGGACAAACCAATAAGTTTTAGATTAAAATCTCTTACAGATCAAGTGTATGGGATACCTGTAAAACACATAGTAACATTTTACTGTTCTACACTAAATTCTGAGACCAACAGTATAAAACCACAATGAGGGATGAAAGGAAAGCCTAGACAGTCAAAACAAAAAACATCCTTCTCCAGTTTTTTCTATTATGTGTATTTACATTTTCCCCGAAAGAGAGAGATAGTGAAATACCTTTCTCAATGTTTTCACTTTAAATAATTACATGTGTTTTGCACATCTGAACTGAGATACAACTGAATATAACATGGAGGCATGAGAAGGTGGACCAAGCAGTGGCACTTGTATAAGAAATGCCCTATTCAAGAAAGGGGGATGGGACAGGACAATACAATACAAAACCCCTGCAATGTTTCTTAAGTTGTTTCTGAAGTTCAGGAGTGATTCTGTGCTTCTTGTACATTTTATAGCTCTTAAGCATCTACATTACATTTCATGTGTCAAAGTAGGGCTGTTTAAAAAACAAAACAAAACATACAACGTACTTCTTTCATTAGAGTGATCCCAGAAGATACCAGCCCAATCAATGTGTCAGATACCCTTCCAACCTTAATCTCACTTGCAGCTTCACTGTGAATAATTTACGCTGCCTCTGAACAATGAGCACTGCTATGGACCCTGAAATAACATCATTTCTCAATATCTATTCATAGGCTTAAGCAAATATGATTATAGCACCAAGAGTACACTGAATTTAGAAAGATACATTTTCAAGTGGACTAAGAATTCCAATCTTCCCCCTACCATTCAGAAGTATAACAACTGACAACATCCACAGCAACAAAAACTCTGCAATGATTCTACACCAAAATTGACTTAATACATCCCACATCTAGTGCAGAGCTGTAAACATTGATATTACTAACAAAACAACATCTCCAACATTCAAACTGCTTACTGCCAGTAACCATCAAAAAAAAAAAAAAATACAAAAAGGTATTTTACATGGCAACACCCTTAGATAAACTGGCATCTAACTGATCTAACTGAAAGAAGAAGCACCTATCTCATACAGTGTTAGGATTTTTATCCCACAAATACTTTCTGCAAGAGCAACAGGAAGAAATAGATTGCATCTAACTAAGACCTCTGAATACAAAGAAAGAAAAAACAACTGCCACCCACACATGCCCAGTTGTGGTGTGCAGCCTAAAAAAGAAATCCATGTAGATATATACATGCTTATCTCAAATGCAATATTCTTTTTCCAGCATAACCAGCCTCAGGAAAGTCCTCCACATGTGCAAAACCAAACCATCACTACGCAACAGTAGTGACCCACACAATTGCTCAAGGACAGAAATATCCAGTTGCAGGTAAGAAAACTGTTCACAAAAAAAAAAAAAAATCAATCCAGTTCTGTCCTCAGCCAAAAGAATCTCTTCAGCACCAGCTTATGCCAGTTTAGCTGTGGGATGCTGCCAAATAACGTGGTTGACACCCTTTATCTCCCATTTTTTTGGTCAATTCATCAGAACACTAATGCCATACTAAAGTTTTTTACTGCATTTAGCTTACATCATTACTATCAACACAGAGGAATCAGTGGGAATATGCACTACTTTGGGCAATAATCTACAGTTCACTGTGTTAATTCATTCTTGAAACTTTACCCTCACCTTTACACATACCTTTACAAACAAGCCTGAAAATGACATTTTTTAAACCTGATTAATCTCAAATCCTAAACTGATGTCTCAGGGGCAATGATGTGATAGGGTCTGTTACAATGAACATAAAGACTCCTCTCCACAGCTTCGGTCTTTGTCTTCATTTAGTCAACAGCACACCACCTCTACTCATCTTAACATCACGCTTTATTCAAAACTACTTTGCCTTTCAAGTAGTCTAACAATCACCATAAGTAGTTAAAAGGAATTAGGTACAGTCAGTAGTTAACTGCTTATTACACCCTGCATCCAGAAAATTTTACAAGCATATCTTATATTAGACCAAGTGATCTCTTTGCTGTAGGCTTTTCCTTCCATATATTCTGCACACACAGAAGAACAATACAAACTAAAAAAATTCAGAAAGGTAGCATAAGCATTATTTCCAAGCTTGTAACCCCTGAAAACCACTCACCCACAAAATCAGCTACATTAGAACAAAAAGATTAATTTAATAATACAAATGATCTAAATCAAACTTCAATTTATCTTTTACTTTTTGTTTCACACAGACTGTATGCAAATGAACATGGCTTCAGAACCTCATACTCACCCATTTATTAGACTAAGCCACTATGACAATGTACATCAAACATGTTCATTTCATAGTGGCTAACAAGATTTAGCAAAGAAGCTTGAGAACTTACACAGGTGGCTTAAGTTCACAATACACATTCAAAAGTTCCATCACCTAAGGATATGCCTATATGTTTAAGGTAACTTATAATACATATAATTACAGAAGAATTTATATAATGACTTGTTAAAACAAAAAAACGTACTCAAACTTTGTTAAAAGTGACATTAAGGTTCATTTCTGCACCTGGTTCATCCACATTAAAACCAGCACTTTGGCTGCACATAATAAAGAAAAGTGCATTATTACTTTTAAATGCATAATACAGAAAAGCTCACTACATCCGTCTTAACACTTGCAATCTAGACAGTAACCAGCAGTTACTTTTCACAGTTACAGGGAGTAAGAGACATAGGTGAAAAGAATGTGAGTTTGCCAAAACAGTATGGGGTACAGTAATGAAACTTACAGAAGAGAGCAATTCCAGCTTCTAATGAAGAAGGGAATGGAGACACAGAGAACATTCACTGAAACACCAGTAAAAAATTAAGCGAGTACTGGGACCCCAAGTGCAAGAAGCCCTTGAGTTAGAAGCTTTTGGCAGTGGCACAAAAGATTTTGCAACATGAGATTAAAAAAACCCAAAAACTTCACATTCCACATAAAAAAGGTAAAACTTTTTTCTTCAAGCCATATAACACTTCCATCTCCTAGCAGGAGAGCAGAGAGAACCTACAATCTACCAGAAGAAGAGACAAACTGAGTATGAGCTATGAAAAAAAAGGTGGGGGCAAAGCCTCACTTCTCAAAGTGCTACAATGACATCAGAAGAGGAATGAATAAATTGAGGAGTAAAATAAATAAATAAGGATTATAGATCTCCTCATTTTGTTCAGCCTCCACAGCTCTCCCCTCATTCACTGAGGAAGTCATTTCATCACAGAAGGCAGATTGGTCAACCCTGGTTTACTGTCTTGGCTCTTCTTACTCACCTTCTTGTCCTTCATGTGCCTGGAAATAGCTTCCACTGACAAAACCGAAGAGCCTGCTATGACTTCTTACAACAAAAATGGGGGGGAGGAGTGACATAGGGTAGGTATTCTGTCTTTCACATTGCTTACGGTGTGAAGGCAACAGGGTTTCTCAGCTGTGATCCTCTGCATGCCCTACCAGTGCCTCACTAGCGACTCAGGTTCGTTAGACACTAATGCTTGCCTGGCTGCTGTACCAAGCACATCTTATGTTGTTGGCAGACAGACTCAGCCCCAGCAATAAAAAAAAAAGGACGGTATAAATATTAGTTTACAAAACTGGATCTTTTAAACTTATCCAGTGGAGATTAGAAAGATCAGAATTGCTTGCTGCAGCCCTACAGATACAGTCAAGGATATGCATGGGCTTAACATAACACACTTTGGTCTGTGCTTCTTAATTGCATTTTAAAATGAGAATACTTTCTGTAAAACACCC